ATTAATAAGATTTAACCCGGGGATGGGGAGAGTAATTTATGTGACAGCAGTTTCGACTGAAAAGCAGGAGAGTTGAAGCTGAAAACTGAGTTCCATCCGAGAGCAGAACACCAAAGGATTTCGGAGAAGTTAAATCCCTAAAGAAAACAGCCGCCAGTCTACACGAAGTAACATCGCAGATATGGCGAATAGCGTTTTAGGTGCGACAGTTCGCTCATCTCAAACAAGGTCTACTTCGGGAAAAATCAATTCATAAGTCTTCTTATGCAAACATTTGGAGCATGTTGTTAACCTAGCCTTGCCTTGGTAACAACAAGCCCCCAGATTTGCACATTCCCCTGCCCCCTTTTTCTTGCAACCAATTTTTCCCTTGTTCCCCCGCCACTTTGTTTTAACTTTTCTTCTTTACTAATTAGCCCTAGTGACTATGACCTGTGACCGTTCTGTACCAATTCAATTTCGTATTTTTTTGGAGTGGATGCAACTGACGACCACTCCCGAAATGTTATGGATCCATTAAATTTTGCATTAATTACTATCTTCAACTTCTTATAACAGCCCACTAGATTTTAATTTCGGAGATAGTCTGATCTAAACTAGGACAATGTTCGGTTAGCGTGATGAGTACGGTCGTCGTTCGGCCTGCCCGAAGCAACAGGCCATTGCTATGTCACTCTACTTGATTGCACTTAATACGATGGCATCCTACACAAATATTCTTCTTAGTATGCATTCTACCAAGGCAATCAGTACATTCAAAGAACTCTTGAAAAAGGGGAGGAGAACATGTAAAACTGTGGCGATTCAGCTCTATTTCATTTTGCCAGCTGTCCACAGTAGACGAATTCGGACTGGTTAAAAATCATCAATCCCCTGCATCAACTACGAAGTATAGGATTAAATATGGTAGACTGCAAACTCTAAAGAGCAGCGCTGTAACGGTAGCAAAGTAGCTTGTCATCACAGTGTTTCCTACCCAGGAGGCACTGACGAGAAAAGCTGTGGGTATGAACTCTGAAAGCTATTTGGTAATCCTGGTCAGAAGGGAGGAGCATGCGCCTTCCCCTTCGGAGTACTTACGAGGAGAGGATGCACACCTTCATATGAATTGCCAGGAAAGATGAGCTATAAATTCTTTAAATCGGACGCGCAACCTCAAAAGGAAGGACAGAAAATGCTGCCTACTTTATAGACGGCAGCGAAAAAGTCTACAGAAGATTCACTAGTGCGTGATGAGCATTTGGTGGAAACATGAAAAAAAAAACCAGTCCTACAGATGAAGCTCTTGAGCTTTTTGAAGGGTGGCGCCGGCATCGCGAATGAGACGAAGAACAGTCGTCTCGGAGATGTTGAAGCGATGATAGTGATATCGGTTCCGAGCAAAACCAAGGAATTCACTGGCTTCAAAGATCAGACGCATTAAGCCGCTGGGAAAAGCAAAAGAAAAAAGGACAATGTTTAAGCAGCTGAGATGAGTAGTGCCCCACTTGAGGGGTTTGACTGCGTTCATAAAAAAGGCACTGCAATGCACCGTGAGGAAGTTTTAATTCGAATTAACTAAAATGAGTTAAGGAAGCAGGCTGCTTTAAAAGTAAACTTACAACTGCAACTGTTGGAAAGTGATAGCTTTCATCGACTCGTAGGCTTTCAGCATTGTTACACCAGCGCGACGTATGGAGTTCGATGCCCACTCCGTAGCAAGAAACTTTTTAAAGGCTGAACTAGAGAACCGCTTAGATTGGAGATCAAACGATGTGGGACTCACGATATATGTCCGAAAAGGATGATTTCCAACAGTTCATTTCGTAGAGACCAAGACTGAGGAGAAAAATAAATCGTAATTTCAGAGAGTGGATAGAAACCTATAGAACAGCTTGAGGGAAATTAAAGTACCCCTATGAGTTCTAAATTAATTAATTTATATATTCACTTATTTCAAATAAGAACATACAGATTTCTTAGTGGCAGAAAAGAGGATCTAATGTCATTACAGTGCGACTGAATTTGGCGTGAAGGCCTACTAAAGCTATCTAAATTGATCGTATTTACAGTACCCAAGAATTGTCTTACATCGCTATATTCCACTTTTACGAGTCTACCAATTTATTTGTCGCAACAGATTTCATACGCTTCAAAATCATTTTATTACTACAGGTTCAAAATCCTACTCATACTACTTGTTGGAATGGGAACATTCTTACAGCAGCAGCCTGAAGACGCTCTCGCGCATAGGCCGTCAACTTTGTATCCAGCTCAAGGAGGGTATTTTCCCAGGCATTTTTCAATTGCTTGAGACTCCACAACAAAATCTACAACACAAAATGACAAAAATCGAATAAGACGATCTCACAATCAGTGCACAAACGCACAGAACCCGTAAATATTAGGCAACCATAAGCAGTAGAAACATACCTGTTTGCAGTGCAATAACGCTGAGATGTGAAAGGAAAGGTGTTTCAATGGTCTTCGCAGGATGGACAGTGGTTTCGTATCCAGCTATTTAAAGTTATTTTAGTCATTCAAGTCGCACCTTGTGGAGTTGGAGCTCTAAACACGACTGTTCGTCGGTCGCCGTTGTCAGATAGTAGAGGCTGTTCAGATCAGCAGCCAAGAAGGACTGCAAAAACTACATGAAGTAAACAAAAATAGAACCATTCTACCGTTTGGTTACAAGAAGTAGTGTCAACGCGAACTATTTCATACACTCCACAGCCAAATAGACGGATACTACCGTCAAGGTAGACTAGGAGGATGGACAACCTAAAAACCGGAAGGCATAAAAAAAGCCTGCAGCATACTTTGAATCCGGGTCGAGAAATGTTTTAGACAGCTGAAAGACCTTTTGCTGATTTGATACTTCACTAATAATTGCATGAATCGAATAAAAAGCATGTTACTCTGCAAAGATGGCCAGGGCATCGAAGGGTGGAAAGTATTCAGACGAATGCGAGAGATTAATTGTTCTGTCGGATGGAGGGTCACATTCAATCCACCGTAAATCACAAATGGGTTTGTCGAAAGTCATATGATGTATGAGTGAACCATCTGAGAGATTGAACATCTGAATTTTTTGACTTTCGTAAGCAGCCGCGATAACTTTGCCATTTGGTTGCCAGGCAAGTTGTGTTATTGCGCCAAGTTCGGGTGAATGAATCTCCCACGTCAAGCTCATCTTATACCTTTTAAAGGAAAACACTTAGATTCGAAGACCGCGGAGCATAAGAGAGCGAATAAAGGGAGAAATCTATATTAAGTGCTTAAACACCTAGTCAGTACTTTTAAAAGTGTCGAAGACGAGGGTTTACTCGAGGCAAACAAGTAGCAAACATTTACTGCTGTAAAAAATTGGCATGGACAAAAAATTATCGAAAACTGTCGAACGTTTAGCTTAAATAATTTAGACTGTTTGGTCCCTTGTATCCTACCGTAACTTTGAGCGGCATCATATTAGCTGTAATGAAGCCCTATAACTACGAAATTTGCAGGTAATATTGCCGAATTCACTAAAAAAGTCCTATTTTACAGCCCATTCAAATCGTATTTTACTAAATGTTCAACATAACCACCAGGGACCAAACCTCTTTTTCGGTGCCAAAGACCATTCCGATGCTGTCAAAGGTCTATCAGGTATTAACGTCCGATCTATAAGGCCGGCATCGGGCCAACATTACTTTATGGATCTTCACATCTAGCCGGAAAGGCATGGCCTGCAAAACGGTCTTGAGGCCGAACATCTGGAGCGTCTAAGTGCGGTGCATAGTAGTATTTTAATAACGTTTTTTTGTATTAACAAGGCGAGCGGAACTGTGTGGGTATCTGTGCAATCTGGAATTTACCTGCTACCTTTTATTGCGGCTATCCTATCATGTGCCAGGCGCTGAGAAATCATTTCCCTTCTATTGAAGCGTTGTTGCTGAAAACTCCCTTGAACAGGGTATGCCAAATGATAAGGTGAAAGGCTAATGACGCACCGAAAACGATGGTCACCGACGATCACACTGCTGTGTCGTTGTGGAGCTGTTTATGGTACAGTA